ATATATATATATATATATATATATATATATACACGTATATATACTTCTAAAAGTCGTGTATCATGCATAGGAACGTTGACGCCTGCAAGGCTCTGGTTTTAATCAAAGTTTATTTGATATTGTGGACAGAGCCTGTGAAGATTATCACATTTTATTTGACAAAAACATGTGACATGCCTAAATATGGTCATGATGACATCACAACATGACCATATACAGGCACATCACGACCATATATAGGCACATCATGGCTGTATATGGGCTTTAGTCTCTGTTACTTGTTACCATCAAATAATCTTCGTAATTTTCCAACATGTCTGTGGCATCAACGAGGAATGCTTTTTTGCAGTATATGTCTCCTTACTGGTCAGCAGGCAAATCATCTTCAAGGCATTTATGTCGTTATTATTTGCTGGATTGAATTACGCACTTATTTATTCATTGATTTCAAGATGAACATAACCGGCGGCAAGAATAACATCTTGAAGCAGCAATTTAAGGCCGATGACTAACATAGCTAGCTTGATAATATCAGCCTCTGTTATTCATATGAATTTATTACTAATAACTCTGCCCGCTTCATAATATAAGAATTGCTATTTATATTCGTAATACAATTCACTTAGTTAGATCTATAATCTTTTAATCTTGTATTCCTTTCTGAGAGTTTTCTTCTGAATTCAAGTTTTCACTTTTAGTTATACACACTAAGTGTTAATATACTACTGTATTTCGTTACCTTTTACCAAGCCTTTTGGTCACCGATACAGGCATTGGTGGCTCCGGAAATTTGCAGAAGGGGTTCCACCAAGTCTGATGGTGGTGTATCTTTAATTATAATAGACTGAACTAGTCACGAAAGATGACGTCATCAAAATTTGGCTGATTGAGTATTAAAAGTTGTTTACATTGTAAAGTCATACTAATGCATTGAGCAAGTTGAAAGTGGGGTCTATTAAATCGTCTAAAATGTAATGAAGTTTAGCGTAGAAGAAACTTTTTATAACAATTTATACATTATGAATGATTCAATAGATTCTTGAAATTAAAGGTTGATTTGATTTAAATTTCCATTCAGGCTAAAAACACGAATAATTTTTAGGGTTATTCTAGTGGGCCTAGGCCTGTCGCTCGCGAGACTCACCACATCCAGCGCTGACTAAAGTGATCACTGTTGATTAGAGGTACATATTCAACTTAAGTACTGTCACCAAGTCATTTTGTTGCAATTTCTGTATGAAATATTAAAACTATTGGACAAACCTAAATTGCTGAATTGCAGAATAAGATGTTTCTTTTGACTACGATGGCCAATGAGTCAGACGAATGTTATTTGTATGACTTTCTAGGGCTAAGCCCGTGTTCAAGCGAGGATGCTATGCAAAAGTGTTCATGTTTTCCATTTGCTTCTTTCACTCCATTTTAAATGTAGCAAGTCAATACTGTGACATTTATTAAAGAAATACTTACCAAGGCATCTCGATAAGTTATTTTACAATAAAATGTACAAAACAACTGCCACCTAGCTGTTTGTTTTGATGTAATACCCAATATAACGGCTTTGATTTGGTGAATAATTCGGTCTATTACAGTTATATTACTGTGTTTTTACTGTTACAGCCAGGCCATATAAAAAAAAAATAGTTTCTTGTTCCCTTGAGCTTCTCTGCCTCACTAATTTTTTTTTTTTTTTAAATATATATTACGGAATGTACAAAAAACTTGTAAGACCAGTAAAATTCCTTTCTCAATCGTTCGTATTTGGGGATGCATATGGTAAATGTATGAATCATGTCTAGTGCTTTTTTTTGCTTCAATGTGTCTAATTGGTAGAAGTGAGAAAGGATATCCCGTTGACCATCCTAGATTTCTCATCTCGGAGTAAAAAAAAAAAAAAGTGCCCTCAATCTCCTTTTTAAAATATTAGGACGAGAAACAACTTTTTTTTTGTCTTTTCCTAATGTCTTCAACGACTATTTTTTTAAATGATATTGATTTTGTATTGTTGAGAAATGTGCGCTCCAATTACTCAAGGATTCACCGACAGGCAATGTTACCAATTAAATTATTCACAGTTTATATTGCGTACACATTAGTTGATTAATGTACATGACATGACATTGGAGAGGACATTTATCAATAATTTGCCGATTTATTACTTGAGGTAAATTTTGGTAAATGAGTTTTGAAGGCTGTTTACACTGACTGTGAATTATTAATTGAACCAGTGAGTTGATTGAACTAGTTATTTTAAATATAATATCCACATTATACTCAGTGGTTGCCCCAGAAATTTTCCAACAGGGGGACAAATTTCCCCTTTATCTACGGCTGATGGCACTACTTGTTAATGTTATGTTGCAAACATTTTTTTGATATGTAGGATTAGCTTTTATGTGACAAACATCTATGGTTCGCCTATATATGGCTGTGACATGATATTACATCCTCCATACATGGGAAAATCATCATCATAAACATATATACACAAAGATGCATGGTTACATAAGATTTTATAGAGACGACAGAACTTGACACATTTACTCAGCGTCACATGCTAACTTGCCAAGACAATAATATGCCATATTTCATTAGGTGTGCTGTAGTATACATATGCTTACCCCCTCCCCTCCCATTTTTATAGGCTTGATTGCAGATGCTAGCCTTAGTCTGAGTATAAACCATGGATATAATATCAATGATAAAATGTAGCTAGACTGTTAATCACCTAGAGGGATTTGTGATCCATATAGGCGCCATATAAATACGGTTTTATTATTATCATGTTAAATAATATTTATGAAATTTTAGGTAAGTTAAATGATAATTTGCTATCATTAATTTTTAAAAAAACATCAGTTGTAAAAAAAAAAACCTTCATAGGAAGAATATTAAAAAAATAGTAAAGCATTTGGTGCAAAGGTCATGGCTCAAACTCGAGCCTTGAGGTCGGGGTTTGATACCTTCGCTGTACAAGTTCGCTTGTGTTCTCGGGCGGGGCACTTTATTGGATAATCCATGTAGTCTCTCTCTACCCAGAAGTAGATACCTAGCACGCTGGAGGGCCATGAATGGATTAATTTTATGCAAATAATTAAGGAATACTCCCCCAAGGAGCAGAGTATGTATTTTGTTTGCATTGTTCCAATCACCAGGGCAATAAATGTGAAGCGCTCGGAGATGATTGATCCGGTCGAAGTTAATCAAATGTAAATACTGTTGTGTAGAGAGATATACAACACAATATGGAGAGGTATTTACAAAGAGAAAGTGTCTAGACGATGAGCGATAATTTAATCACGACTGAAAGTTCATCCAGGAGAGAATACAGTAATGCCTGAGTATGGTAGAAAGGACATCGCAACCATCCCGTCTGCTTACTTTCTGGTGCGTGTAAAATCCCTGTCCAGACAAAAACTTGTGACATGTCTAAATATGGTCATGTCGACATCACATCATGACCATAGGCGACATGCTTTTTTCCGCCACACATGACAAACATCTTTGTCATGAGCTTCGCTCAGAGTCGACTAAACTGGTGATAGCCACTGTGTAAGCTGAACCTGGGAGATCTCATGGTCCCCGGTCCAATTCCCATCATTGTTCTCCTTGTATCTTAGCTGGATGGCTTAAATGCAAGTTACGATAGCGCACCGTCTTTCGGATGAGACGTTTAAGCCGTTGGTCCCGTTTCCATTTTGGCCCATGTGCATGTTAAAGAACGCAGTACACTCTTCGGAAAAGAGAGGGATTGTCTCCCGGCGTACTGCCCAATCACCACCAAAAGGACTCTACTGGAAATAAGTCTTCAGACTTTCGTGGGTTGTCTTTGGTGTTTAAATCCATCCATCGAGCCCATCTTCCCTTTAAAATAATGCATGAGCACTTGCTCACAAGTTGCTTGAATCTCAATATATGTGGCACAGACAAGCCAAACGAGTCACTCGTCGCAAATCGTGTTTCAGAGAAAATGGCCAAAACATGCTGGAATATCAAATTTTAAAAAATCTATTTTATTGCACTAAACTAATCTTTATATATCTACACACCATCCTTTGCTGTTATTTTCCCCATTTTCAATGTTAAAACAACACTTTTTAAGGGTTTAAAGATAGTTTCTGCATGAGAAATGCCTGAAATCATAAACTTAGAAGGCTGATTTCTCATATATTGTTCTTTGAACAGCTGTGTGGTTAAACGCTTGTAACTTCATAAGGAAATGTCCGATCTGCATGATTTTTTTACCATTTTATAGCTATTATTTTACTCTCTAACACTGTATTAATAATTCATGATGGTTTGGCTTGTCCTTGCCACATATGTTATATTGGATTTCAATTGGATTTCAAAAAAAACTTGAATGGGCTAAATCAGAGAAAATAGGGAGCCTTTGATTGCATGATGCAAGAACGCTGCGTCATTGCCTGAATTTTAGGTTGCAGTTTGCCCAATTATATGCTGTTCAGAGGATGTAGGATGGTCATGCATGAGTGAATCTGTCCTATCATCGTATTGTCGCGCAAATCGAAAGCTCTCTCTTGATTGAGGTCCTTGCACATTCTTGACTTTTAATGTTACCATGCTCAGACTACTTGTAATTATACTAATAATGTGTAATTTTTTTTTTTTTTGTGTTTTTTCCAGGGGAAAGAAGTCATTGGAAACAATCTGTCTACTATTATGTTATAAGATCAAATACCCAAACAACTTCTTCCTACTAAGAGGGAACCACGAGTGTGCCAGCATCAACAGGTAATGCACATCAAATATCTTGTCATTCTTATACAGTAGATCTTCCAATTCGAGAGCCCTCTAACTCTGAGGTCCCTGTAATTCGAGACCACTTAACAAATTTAAATTTCAGTAGTCAATCATTCATCATAAAGCTAAACCCTATTGGAGACTAAACACTGAGACTACCACAAATTTTCAGGTCCCAAAGTGGTCTCGAATTGCAGAGGGCAAACTGTAGTAAAAGCTACAGCTGGGGATTAAAAATGCGATGGACTGTTCTGCATATCCCAGCCACTTGGTTTTAATCTCACTAAGGTTCTCACTATTTAGGCAGCGTAAACATACAAAAAAACATCTGCGTGTGGTGAAATAACAGTCATGTTTATGGAACAAGCATGTATTCCTTTCCCTGTTCTGATTGGTCGATTGTTAACTTTGATTGACACTTCCAGAAATGCCTATTACCTTCCATTCCCAGAGTCGGTTTTTGCCAGAAGCCGTTTCGTCAATTTTAACAGTAAAGATAACTGACCAACCAGTAAAAATTTTGAAATCGTGAATATAATAAAACCACTGATTAGGCCTAAGTACAGTAGTCTAGGCTGGTCTTCTTTCAATAAGTAAACAGTATTCCAGTCTATACATATGCTATGACATATGCGTTGTTGTTTTTTTTCCAAGTCATTAAACCCTGCTCACAAGGGATATCGCCTCACACTGCGTGCATACTGTAGCTGAATTTTTATGGACATATTTGCCAGTAAAAATGTTTCAATTGGGAGAACACTGCAGAGTTGAGGGTTTTCAAATTCTGTGAGACACCAGGAGTTTTTCACATGAATACAAGCAGCTTCACTATCATCTCTGATCCTGAATATTCCAACCTTAAATCCTTCCTCTTCAAATAGTTCAACTTCTTTCTAACTTTTTCCAGCACCGGTGACAAGTCTTTTTTTTTTTTTTTTTTTTTTTTTTTTAGATGCGCTAAAAATGTTTCCTGAGAAATTTTTTTTTTTAGTGTTTATATCAATATTTTAAATTTTTATTTTTTTAATTTTTTATAATTATTATATATATTACTAACATATTATAAATTTATTATATAATATTCATTTATTATAGTAACTGGTCGATAAATCCTTACAAAACTCTATATGTTTGTGCTGTGTATTATTATCAGTACGTTTACACCATCCGAATTTTTTTTTTTATTGTATATCAATACATTTTAATTTAAATTACCTTATTTTTATAATTATTATTTATTAATAAAATATTATAAATTCATAATTACTATTCATTTATTATAAATTATTGGTAGATAAATGCATGCAAAACTCCAAATGTATGTTGTGTGTATTATTATCAATACTATACAGACTTCACCATCACAACTTGCAATCAGCTTCGATTCAAGGCTTAAAAGAAATTGCAATTGAGAATAATAACTACAGCAAGCTGTATATAATAGAACTCATTAATAAACGATTTATAAGATAAAATACATGACCTTTCTTAATAATGAATAACTTTAAATACATGCGCGGATGGTGTGAAATACTGTATATGTGAGTTTGTACATTAGTATTTCACTGAAGACCGAATGATTGTCGTATATTTTTTTAGCTAATGTATTTGCCGCTTGGAACTAAATCTATGTTATCAAAAGTGTTTGTCCAAACAATACTCTAAAAACTCGAATTTGAGAATGCTAATTTTGGAAAGATTTTTGTCAGACTTTTAACCCCTACATCAAAGATCAAATGCCAATGTGTCAAAGTTGAAGATACACTGCTACTGGAAGGAGTCTGTAGGGAGCTTTCTATTGCACGATTACAGTAGGACGTAGAGCGTAATGACGTTACTAAAAGTCATCTGCGCATGCGAGAACATTATGGTCACCTCGTCGAGTAGATTCCGGAATGCAATTTGGCCAAACCTACGTATGCAGAGAACGTAGGACGCCATGTAGGATGGTCACGCATGAGTGATCCCGTTCTAGCGTCGCGTCGTCGCACAAATCGAAAGCTCTCTGATAATTGAAGCATGACTAGTAAAACAGCTGTCTTTGTCCTAACAGTTCTTTCAAACCTTGAAGTTCCAATTTGAGAATGCTAATTTTGGAGAGAATTTAGACTGACCATTAACCCCTAGGTCAAAGATCAAATGCCAATATGTCAAAGTTGAAGCATGGATGGAGGAATTAGTTTAGAAGATAGATAGTCAATAAACAAAGCATGACTAGTAAACAACTGTGTTATTGATGCTTGGATTATGTTAAAATATTTATAGATGATAATTATTGATGAAAATCAGCAGTGCATATGATTGTGTACAGTACTAGCACCAAAAAAGAAATCTAAGAATTTTTTAAAAAATAGATTAAATTAAGTGAAACAAAATGAGGTATTATACAATTTGAACTTTATGAGAATTCTGTATTTTTTGAAGATTTAATATTGATTTTAAGATACTGCAGTAATAATATTGGTATTTATGTATTGTGCACTTTTAACATATATCCCGTAAACTTCTCATAGTACACTTTGCAATATTGCCTTTTCCCTGGAAACAGTGTTAAAATATTCTCTGCTCTCTTGGGAGTACTGTAATGTTAGTCGTGCATTAATGATTAGCATCAATGACAAAAATAATATTAAGCCATTCCATTTCCATGATTCTACATGTTCACTTCTTACCAAGTACTCCGTCAGTATTTCTAGAAGAGAAACAAATATAAAAGCACCAAGTTCTTCCCAGATTATTAAATATTTTGACAAAAATTATGTTGTATGCCATATATAGTCATGATGTGTCTATATATGGTCATGATGTGATGTCATCATGACCATATTTAGGTATGTCACATGTTTTTGTCTAATAAAATTTGATAGTCTGAATAGCACCTTACCAGAGGGTACAGGCAAAAGGGATCAGTGCATAGTAAAAGTCCAATGCGTTTAGTCCTCCAATCAAACAAATTTTCCATGCAAAATTGCTGTTCAAATGTGTGATTATGAAGTTCTGAATTACGAAAAAAAATAACACCAACACATTGGTGCAAAAAATTTCATTTGTATAATACGATGTCGGGAAATTTTTGAGTATTCAAAATATTGAGCACTCTGATATATGATATTGCTGCAGCCAATCCAAAGCCCTGTGATGTTCTCCGGTGAGCATTCGATTATTTGAAAGTTAAAAAAAAAAACACTTGAAAAGCTTGTGCCCTCTGTTCTAGTTTTCATTCTGGCATTCTACTGGATGTGCATGAATCCATTATATAGAAGAATAATATTAGTTAATTCAAATTCCAAATGAGGAGAATCATTTCACCATCATCAGAAATGCTTTACGATGAAGCTCTTCCTATTATCATTATTCTTTTTGATGCATTACTCAACACTGCCTTTGAATACATTATATTTCATAACAAATTTACGTTTTTTTTTTTTCTCTGCAGAATATATGGGTTCTATGATGAATGCAAGAGGCGATACAACATCAAACTGTGGAAGACTTTTACAGACTGTTTTAATTGTCTTCCAATTGGTAGGTATACAATGATATTTATATTTTGCTTAACTCCGAATTTTTATTTCTAAATGTATTGTAAAGCACTTTTAGCAAAATGTGCTCAATCGAGATCAAACTATTATAAGTATAATTTTCTAATAGTATAATTTGATGATGCTCTGAAGTTTTAATTTGAGGTAATGTGCGAACATGATATGGAGTTGGTTATTTCAGTACTCCAGACATCTCTATTTTATGAGGCTCTCCAGACCAAGTATTCTTTTCCTTTTGGTCTTTTACCATCTATTCTGCCTTTAATTCATTGCTCTCATCATGTCTTTGGTATGTTGAATGCGACATATGGTATCCATTTCTATGGATGAATGAGTGGATGGATGAATAGATGAATGAATGAATGGATGGATGGATGGATGGATGGATGGGTGAATGGATGTAAGTATGGATGGAGAGATGAATGAATGAGATGGATGGATAGATGAATGAATGAATGGATAGATTGATAGGTGAATAAATGAATGTAAGGATGGATGGATGGATAGATGAATGAATGAATGTATGTTTGGATGGATGGATGAATTGATAAATGAATGAACGGATAGATGAATGACAGGATAGGTGAATAGATTTATGGATAGATGAATGGATGGAGGGATTAATGATTAGATGTATTGATAGATGAATGGATGAATGAAATGATTAATGGATAAATGAATGGATGAATGTATAAATGAATGGATGAATGAATATATGGATATAGATGGATGGATAGATGAATGTATGGATCGATAGTTAGATAATGATAGTAAATAATAATAAGATATAAAGCACACAAATCCACTGCAGTAGTGCTCAAGGCCTACAAGAAGGAACAAAAAATTATTATTGGATTATTATAGATGGATGGATAGATAAATTGATAAATGAATGAATGGATAGAAGAATTAATGGATAGATAGATAGATAGATGGATAGATGAATGGATAAATAAATGGATAGATGGATGGATAGATAGATAGATTGATGGCTGAATTGACGGATGATTTTAATAATGGATGGATGGTTAGTTAAATTAATGGATGGATAGTTGAATGTATTAATAGATAGATAGATGGATGGATAAATTGATAATGAATGAATGAATCGATGAATGAAAGGATATATTCATGAATAGATGAATGGACGAATGGATGGATGGATAGATGAATGGATGGAAACCCTGTAAAAAAAAGTGACAAAATGGAACCAGGATTCTTTGGTGTTAATATGTTTTCCACATATACTATTAATAATGAATACATTTATTAACAAATAGAATATTCATGTTAGTAAAGAGCCACCATTCTGAAATTTCATATCTTCTATTGAGCTTTTATGAATAATTCAACATTCTTTATTGTTATCTTAATAGCTGGGGTAATAGAAGGCACAATATTCTGCATGCACGGAGGCTTGTCACCAGACTTAAAAACCATCAACCAGTTACAGAACATCGACCGCCCCCTGGAAGTCCCTGATCACGGCATGGTCTGTGACCTTCTATGGTCTGACCCTGATGAGGTAAAATATCGGGACACAAATTTCTTTTATATCTTTGGCCAGATAGATAGGAGGAGGATGATATTTTTTTCAAAGATTACCACAACACAACACCTGGTAGGATGATGTGACATTGCAGGTATTAGTCTGTATCAGTATTAAATTAATAATAATAATAATAATGATAATAATAATAACAATAGTAATAATAATAATAATGATAATAATGATAATAAGAATAACAATAAGAATAATAATAATAGTAATAATAATAATAACAATAACAATAATAATAATTAATGATAATAATAATATAATAATAATAATAATAATAATAATAATAATAATAAGATTTATGAAGCACAAAAATCCACTGCAGTAGTGCTCAAGGCGCTACAGGAGGAAGGAACCAAAAGTTCCCATCAACCTAGAGCTACAAGAAAAGAAACACCACACCATCACCACACGTTTACAGGCAATTTGAGGAACAAGGCCGGCCTATTCATAACTCACAGGTGCTCAAGTAATGGGGGTATCTATCTATAAACAAATTGCATGCACGATTACGAATACTTACCAGAGAGTGGAGGAGGTTGCACTTTGTGCTGGTTGGATTATGGATCCAATGACCAAAGGTAATGATAACTTTACCAGTACCTTGTATCCCTTGGCAATAGGCGCTGTATATATCTATATTATAATTATTATTAACACACACGTTCGGTGCACCCTCCCATCGGAGACCCCTCTAAATCGAGACCACTTTTTCAAAAGAACCAAATAACACTCTTCAACACTGCTATGTTAACCCTCTAAGTGCGAAGACCGAACCCAAGACCACCTCAAATTTTCAGTTACCAACATGGTTTTGAATTGGAGGGCAAACTGTATTAAGGCTGGGCCACGTAGATTCACATTGTTTTTAACAAAATTTGTATACCTTATTGCAAGCTAATTATTTTTTGAAAGATCTTCAGATGATGGTTAAAAATGAATTGAAATAAAATTATTATCTCATTATCAAAAAATGTTTTTGCCAAAAGAATGCTTTCGGGTTCAATCCTGTCACATGGACATTTCATTATGGCAGTGGGTGTGGTTTTGCCAAACCTTCTTCCACAAAGGTTTCATTTAGGCCCTGGCTTTATCCTATTGTGGACATAAACGGAATGTGATAATTTAATTCAACAGATTTATCCAGTTGTGAGAAAGAAAGATATCTGTATCTGAATATTTTATGTTGACAGTGTATGAGATGAAAATATAGAAGCATTTTTTCATTGCAGCTGGGGGCTAGAATAGATATAAAATATCGTTATTACAAACTATCATTTTTAGCGTCTGAGTGACACCATGAAACAAAGTATAATTACAAGAAAAAATGTTCTTTCTCAATAGTAAAATTTAACAATTTAAAGCTAATTTAAAGTTCATCTCAAGTACAATTGCATTACAAGATTTCATATTTAATAGGAATATGCGACCTGCACTACTAAAGTCTCTAACTCAGAAATCAAAATGAGGAAAAGGCTTTTAAATTACCTCTTCAAATTTTGGAATTCGACAAGTAAGAATATTATGACATGGTTTATGTAAATGAGTTGCTATAGATTATCTATACCACCGCATAGAATGCAGATGACTCGACTTAAGGTGCAGTGAATGTGAATACTTTAGTAATTCCGAATATGCATCATAAATGGTGTAAAGCTAAATGACATGTTGAAATTGCATGATATAAAACATGAAGAAACACCTCCATTAGTGATGTGGGATTTATTAGCATGTGCGATACTATGAGGGGAAAAAATGTCCTAATGGGAAATTCTAGGCGCGTATACTGCCGTCATCTTGTTGCTCATTTTGGATTCAAATTCAAATGAAATTTTTTTTATTTTTGAACTACCAATCACACAAAACATTCTGCTCAATCACATTAACATTCCTAGTAACTATAGCAACTAATGCTGTTAGCTTTGGCGCCAAAATGACTAAACATAGTATTTCAACTTCAAATAAAATTATCCCCAGCACAGAAGCTTTTTTCCTTAATATATTCTAGGAAAAGCAAAGCTGTGCATCTATGACTTATGTACCATCATGTCACTTAAAACATGTCTTTGGATATTTTTATGGCATTGAGTACAGAGCCAAATAGGTAAACAAATTGATGGTTCCAGAAAATCCTGGGTTTTCATTACTATGCCATATACAGTACTTGCTGATGAACAAATAAACCAATAATTTGGACTGGTAAACCATGCGAAATGCACTAATGGGCTTGAAATAAGTGAAAGGAAAAAAACTAAAAGACCAAAAGTAAAACAGGTAACCATTAGGATGTGCACTAAGTTTTAAGTAGAAATAGTATGAATGTCACTCCAATAGCAACTCATACACAGTCAAAAACAGGTAAATGCCACAAGAAAGGAGAATAAACCACTATTAAACAAGATATATCGTTTAACCCATAAGCCTTTTGCCAACCAGCTCTAAAATCATAGGTGTCAAACAATATAATGTAATTCAGTAAAAATTTTTACAGCACATAGCATCAACTTTGCCTACAAACGTTTGTCAGACTGAACAAGCATTTGATTATTATGTGATCAAACAATTACTACAGTACTAACAAAATACTTTCCGAGCCACTGGGGCTCATAGGGCTGGAGCTTATCCCCAGTTTCTGTAGTGTGAAACGGATGAGAGTTGTACTCCCCCTGGACCATCGCAGGTTAGTCCCCAGCAGATTGCTCGTATTTATTGATACAGCTGGGTGGACTGAAGCAATGTAGCTAAAGTGCCTTGCCCAAGGACACAAGCGAATCTGCACTGATGAGACTCGAAATCCTGACCTTACGATTGAAAGTCCGAACCTCAACCGCTGCGCCAAACTGCCGCTACAAACAATATCAGAGGCTTAAGTTGTCCACCCTGTCTATTTTTATGTGAGAAATGTATGTGATTTGACCATATATGGGCATGATGTTTTCATATTACTTCCATATATGGCCAAATCGCATGCACATTTACAAATTAATAGTTTGTACAGTGTTATAGTGTTGTCTGGCTTTAGTTACAAACCTGATCAAATGAATGGCATGTCCACGAATCAAGTGGGCAAGAAAGACGTCATTCAAATTGGCGCCTTATTCCAGACCCCCCTGTCCAGAGCTTAAGTTGGTTGAACCAATGAAAATCTTATTGCATTCAAGGACACTTCGGGCTCATGTATTTTTTGTAAGAGTAGGGGTTACCCCAAAGCTTTGGCTCAATTTAGCTCCTATCGTGGCATGATGTGAACTAAGCACTTCTCGACTACTGCTACTACTACTACTACAGACCACGCCTACATGCAATTCATTGATGATGTCAGTTTATGGGCTATTCGACCTTTACCCATCAGTTGCGAGTCGGACATCAGACATGTCCTATCCAACCAAAAAAAAAGATCAAGTTAAAATTGTGGACTAATAAAAAAATTTAGTGCACAGTTCAGGATAGGAAAATCACGATTGACTTATAATTTTATGATCCACACAAGCCCCTCACCTCCCATTACTGATTTCTACGCTTAAAAAATGATTGTAGTTGATTCCATGAATATCACACCCCCCTCCCTTTCTTCCATCTTTGATTTATCCACCACAAGGTTTTACCTGTGTGTGTATATATACACAACCTTTTCCTGGTTCCTATCTTCATGTTCAATACAAATTTTGTACATTTTGCCTGCATATGCTTCTAATTGCGAAATATCAAGGTAAACTCATGTTAATAAGGCCATAATTGTAATATTGATTTTAGAATCTGAATAATTATAACAGTGGTTGCTTCCGTAATTACTACACGGTATTTTGTTCAGTTGCAGAAATAACAGTTTGTATTGTGATAGTGTAATTATCTGACAAGCTTGCTTGATTTCAATAAATGCACTTTAATTTAAAAATAGATAAATGTAAAGTGGGTGATTGAAAGAGTTGTATATATGTCCTTGTACAGTTTAATTATTCTATGTGTTTTCCAGGATATGAATTAATTAAATTTTTTCCCTTCAAAAATCCAGACATTCATAAACACCAATAATAATATAAAATAAAACTATTATTATAATACATTATTAAAGTTAGATAAATTTAGTAGTTGAATTAAAGAGTTATTTATGTCCTTGAACAGTTTAATTATTGTATGTTTTTCCAGAAATGAATTAAACTTTTGCCCTTCAAAAATCCAACCATTTATAAACACCAATACTAATGTAAAAAAAAGCTATCATATAATACAAATTTTAATTTAAAATTAGATTAATGTACATAGGTGATTATAAGAATTTTGAAGAATTTATATATGTCTTTCCAGGAAATGAATTAATTAAATTTTGGCCCTTTGAAAATGCAACCATGTATAAACACCAATACTAATGTAGTAAAAAAAAACTATTATAAAATACAAAATTTTTAATTTAAAATTAGTTCAATGTACGTAGGGTGATTAAAAGAGACTATTAAATTTGATGTGAAAAAAAAATTTGACATGTCTAAATATGGTCATGATGGCATCACATCATAATCATGTATTAATAATAATATTTTAGACTTGTATAGCGCTTAATGCCAACAAGGCCTCATAAACGCTTCACATTATTACCCCCTGCTCACTGGATCAAGCACATGGAACACATACTCAGCTCTCTGGGAAATGTTGCGGCTAGTAATCAGCGCATTTTGTGTTTGAGCCTACCGGGTACCCACTTGTACTCCTGGGTGGAGAGAGGCAACCGTAGGTAAAGAGTGTCTTGCCTAAGGACACAATCGAAATGCACAGCGAGAGATTGAACCTCCGACCTCATGGTTGAGAAGCAGAATCACAACTGATGGGCCAGACCGCTCCTACCTTGGCACACCATGACTATATATGGGCATTACAATAGTTTTTTGTCAAAGAAAATTTAATTGTGTGAATGCAGCTTATGGAGGGTGTTGATAACTTATTTTATCCTATGACAAAAAACATGTGACATGCCTTAATATGGTGGTGATGACATCATACCATAACCATATGACTATATATGGGCATTACAACAGTTTTTGTTAAAGAATACTTAAGGATGTTGATAACTTATTAGATTTTTTCCAATGAGCAATTTAATTACTTTAATTTACATTTTAGTTGCTATTTTTTTAATTAAATTGCACAACATGCATATATCATTATAATACGACTAAACTAAATGACATTTCTTAACAATTTCTTGTATAATAAATATATTGAATTTGCTAGAAAGCAGGTGTTAGATCTAAATGCATAATCTCTTAAGCATAGAAAAGCATGTTCATTACACTAGCAGAAAATATTTTTAGGTATGAGGCAACACAAATTGGTTTCCAATTTAACAAAATAGAAACTGCCATAAGCAGATGTAGCAAAAAAATAATAAAAAAAACACAATTATAAAGACAAACAAAAATGCAAGAGTTTGAGATATATTATAAGTACAGTAGTGAAATAGGATGCCCTTAGGCCTTCCACCTGATTCTTTTGTGTGGTCATATAAGAATGCCCTGATGTGATGTAAACAGTTCAGTAATGATATTGATAAATGCTTTATATTTATTTAATTGCGAGGAATAATATAGATCTCTAATTTTAATATCAGAAGATCTTATGTAAGCAGCAGATGTGATAAAAAATAATAAAAAGTGTGTTTCTTGCTGAAATTTTAATCCTTTCACAATGGCAGTTGCGCTTACGTGTGAAAAATATAATTTCATCAAAATTTGAAATCATGATGTGGGCAGTGAATTTGCAAAACAAGGTGTTGAAAACTGAAATCATTTTGAAATAACAAGCACTTAAACAGGTGCTACCTAGCAAGACAAGCGCGAGTGAGACAATGAATACTATGCTTTTTGTTCTTGCAGGATATTACAGGCTTCGGGGAGAATGATCGTGGTGTGTCGTACACCTTTGGAGGAGATGTTGTACGTCACTTTTTGAAAGACAACGACCTCAGTTTAATAGTCAGAGCACATCAGGTTGGTAATCATTTGCGGCATAACAAGCAGCAGTAACCAATACAAAAAAGAAAGTTGTCTTTTAAATATATTCAATATATTCTCCACATTATTAGCACATAATAATGGGTCATTTAGTGGAATCGACTTATTATTGCCAAAGTTATGAGTAAAAGTATTACAGCTTCTCTGTACTAAATTATACAATACTGCAACATTCTTATGCTCAGTTTAACATTAGTAACAGTATGCTGATTTTATGTTGAAAAATTTATCAGGTTGTAAATAAAACCAAATACACTGATAGACCAAAAATTGGATTCCTGGTTTCCATAAAATTTAATACACTGTCCCCAACACAATCGGGAAGGGTTCCAATTCAACCGACCAATCAGCATCGTCAACAGCTCTCCGCAATAGTTTGTAGCTCTTTTAGGTAAACTAAGCCTTGGTCAATTTAATCAACGAAATTAAAGCACCTTGTTTTGCATCAACAAATTTATTAGAGACAAGAGGCATTTGCTAGCGAGCGTCTTCAGGCGAAACAATTTGAAATAAGAAGTTCCAAACTCAAGTATCAACCTGGTCTTTTAATAAGCATACGTCCACGTTTTACTACCCATAATTCTGTACCTTCGAATATGATATCTAAGCTACTTCCTAGCACGAAGTTGGTTTAAACCAACCCTCGCTTTTTCATTTCACGCTTTTGCGTAACGGGCCTTACTTCTAGGAATAAACATCTGTGTATGTTTTGATCTGTATTTTTCAATTATGAATAACAGCGGGCCAGGGGGTTTGGTGGATACCCACATCTTGTGTCTTTCTGTCAGCTCATGGTGTTCACTTTTCACCACTCTGGCCATTTTCTGATTTGTAATTTTTCCAAATATGCAATAAAGAAATAAATAACCAGATAACTATACAGAATACATGAATATTTTTACATATTTTAATTACAAAATGTATTTTTTTATTTTTTTTTTATTTGGTCTGTTTTTTTTCTTAAAGGTCGTTGAAGATGGTTATGAATTTTTCCAGAAGCGGAAATTAGTAACAATCTTCAGTGCACCTAATTACTGTGGTGAGTTTGATAACGCTGGTGCTGTTTTATGTGTCACAGATGACCTAACATGCTCATTTTCTATTTTGACGGTGAGTAACATTTGTATACAGTATTTTAAAGAAAACATTTTTTTGTGCTAAGTAAGTTTTCAGTTGGGGTACTTTAGGGAGGGGGAGCAAACATTATCTGTTTGGCACTTCCCCCACACTCTCACCCTCTTAGGTGCATCACTTAAAGATATCAAAACTTAGAAGTACTTTATACAAATGTTGGGTTATTACACTTTAGTCTAGTTAAAATAGACCAAAAATAGGATTCCTGGTTTCCATAAAATTGGATACACTGTCCCCAACACAATCGGGAAGGGTTCCAATTCGACCGACCAATCAGCATCGTCAACAGCTCTCCGCAATTAGTTTGTAGCTCTTTTATGTAAACTAAGCCTTGGTCAATTTAATCAACAAAAATTAAAGCACCTTGTTCTGAATAAACAAACTTTATTAGAGACAAGAGCCATTTGCTAGCGAGTGTATTCAGGCAAAACAATTTGAAATAAGAAGTTCTAAACTCAAGTATCAGCCTTGGTCTTTTTAAATAAACATACATCCACGTTTTACTACCCATAATTCTGTACCTTCAAATATGATATCTAAGCTACTTCCTAGCACGAAGTTGGTTTAAACCAACCCTCGCTTTTTCATTTCACGCTTTTGCGTAACGGGCCTTACTTCTAAGAATAAACATCTGTGTATGTTTTGATCTGTATTTTTCAATTATGAATAACAGCGGGCCAGGGGGTTTGGTGGATACCCACATCTTGTGTCTTGCTGTCAGCTCATGGTGTTCACTTTTCACCACTCTGGCCATTTTCTGATTTGTAATTTTTCCAAATATGCAATAAAGAAATAAATAACCAGATAACTATACAGAATACATGAATATTTTTACATATTTTAATTACAAAATGTATTTTTTTATTTTTTTTTTATTTGGTCTGTTTTTTTTCTTAAAGGTCGTTGAAGATGGTTATGAATTTTTCCAGAAGCGGAAATTAGTAACAATCTTCAGTGCACCTAATTACTGTGGTGAGTTTGATAACGCTGGTGCTGTTTTATGTGTCACAGATGACCTAACATGCTCATTTTCTATTTTGACGGTGAGTAACATTTGTATACAGCATTTTAAAGAAAACATTTTTTTGTGCTAAGTAAGTTTTCAGTTGGGGTACTTTAGGGAGGGGGCGCAAACATTATCTGTTTGGCACTTCCCCCACACTCTCACCCTCTTAGGTGCATCACTTAAAGATATCAAAACTTAGAAGTACTTTATACAAATGTTGGGTTATTACACTTTAGTCTACATTGTTACTTTCCTTTGAAACAAAAGAATAAAAGACACAAAAACTAACATCTAATAAATTATCTTAGTGTCATAAAATTTACCTCCAACGCAAAACGTTCAGAAATTGTCATTATGTATTAGTTTGTGTGCAAAATAAATCTGGTTCTACTTCTATGACACATGACACCACCTATCCTACACACTGTATGGTGAGCTACAACCAACCTAGCACTACCTGCATTTCAGTGCGATGGCATTCAATAGTTCGTACAAGCGTGTGCAAGAAACAAACGTACAAAATTAGCTTGCTGAAGAAATGATTTCAATTAAATCAAGACGAAAGAAAATGAAATACATTGGCATGAATATTTTTAGACCTATTACCATTGCAAAAGGAATGACTGGATAGCCTAGGTAAGGTGTTAGCCATTGTAATAGTGACCATGCAAATCTAGCTATATCTAGGGTAGGCTAGCTGAGTCAGTGCTAATCTAACCCTAGGCAAACTAAAAAGGAAATGTGATTATTATAGTTTTAAACCATACACTAGATAAGATTATTGCATGAATGTTGATTAATGTATTCAAAAATTGATTTATTCATGCATGAATCTAACTTTAGTGCAATCATTTTGACATAGTGCAACATTAATTATTGCTTAATATTAAACACTTTTTCTATCAAATTGTGCAAATATTTTACTCTTTCTTTCACTTACTCTTTTCAGCCTGATAACAAAAGAATGATTGCAAATAAGAAGTGATGATGCCTTGAATGAATTTAGTCTACAATTGTATCTGTTGTGCTCTAGTTCTTTTATGAATAGAGTTGTGTTTTTCAGAGTTTATGCAATATTGAATTGATAACAATAATCTGGTTGTCTTTGTGATGAATGTCTTCTCCAAGAGTTGATGAAAAAGGAGCATGGAGATTTTATTGAACATTGGAAGATTGAAATTTACATTTAATGAACAGTTTTAAATGGTGTTAGTTAAAATTGAAATTTTGTTTTTGTAGATCTCATGACTGGTATTTATTTTGAGGATTATTGAATAGAAATCTGGTTTAAATAATGTTTAGTGTTTATTTATTTTTTTTTTTTCAAAGTTTATGCTGTGTTCCAGCAAAGGTCTTTGCAAATTTGTAATTTGTTAAGGGTTCCGAAGATGCCATTGGTGAATATGTACATCATATCATACAAGTTTAACGAATGGTGATACAGTGCACCATATAATTTGAGACCCCCTCTAATTCCGAGACCCCTCTAATTCGAAACCACTTTTAACACAAAGTGGAGACCAACCCTGAGACCATCTAAATTATTACATCTCACAGTCTTGAATTTGAGGGAAAACTGTACTTAGAATTATAAATTCTATGATTGAAGACGGTTGGAGTATACTAATCAAAGTTTGGGAGGTCATAATCCAATGGGTTCTTTTCAAAATCAAATACCATGGTACCAACCAAATACCAACTGAGCATCTTAGCAAAGGCCACATGGTGTAAGAAAATTATTGTCAAATCACCATGCCAACCAGGGGTGTACGGTGAAAAATCTAAGGGGGGGTCGAAACGAAAGTTCAGGGGGCAAGCTGAACTCGGAGCAATTTAGCGAAGCTTTCAGAATTCGCTGGGTGCGTTATTTGTGAGTGAAGCGAGCATATTTAAAGGGCACTTTCTTTAAAAGAGGGTCGACCGCACCCATCGACCGCACCCATCGACCGCACCCATCGACCCCCCTCAGGTAACCCCTGCCAACATTCTAGATTTAAATGATAAATATATTAAATTTCTAAGGCTTCTAAAACAGCGTTTGTGAATCATAAAATTAAGTAGACAGTTAAAGTTTTGAGAGCGTAAATATGAATTTATTGCCCTGCTTGGAATTGTGTACATGTGGTATTGTAAACAATACTTCAAGTTTTGTTCGATATAATTGGAATGCTATGCACATGTTGCGATCACCGTCCTTCGTAGGCCTTGACTACTGTGCACTTGAACACAGCATAAATTGAGGTACATCATCTGCTTTAGATGTTCCATTCAGTGTCCTTATATTTTTTAGCTTAACCTTAATATTTGGTATCACTTTCTATTATCTTTCTATAATATAGAATTTCAACAATATGGTTTTTACATGAAAATCCTTGTCTGCATAACATGTTTTCATACATGAATATATATACATATGATATTGATATATAT